AATTTCCATTTTTTGTAGTGATCCTTTTTTTTTCTTTTGCTACACGCTCGTTGGAGAAATATAAAAAATTAAGTTTTACAAATTTGTTTAAGTAATTTGTGAGTGACATATTTTCAAATGTTATCATTAATGTATTTCTGTTAAAACTCTGAAATGATCTTATCTCAAATAGTTCTCCAGCGAACGTTTCATATCGATTCGAAATTAATTCCTTTATTTTGATAGTGAAAGCACTGGCTACCCTTCCTTTGAAGACCGAATCGAGCTTAGAAGACGAAGATCTCTCGCCTGTAACACCATTACCACTATATCAGCAGAGAGAGAACTATTACTCATAAGAAAAATGATAGACAAGTTAAAATCTCTCGTACAGCTGATAAATCTTTTTAGCACAAAGTGAAAACGCTACTGCCAGCCCGGAACAACAGAGAAATAAACATCTTTCTTCTTCAAACATTTTTTGAAATTTCATAAAAAGGTGGTTTACCTGACACTTGCTATTATGATTATATTAACGATTTAAGAAAAAGAAAAAAAGATGTTTTTTTTTTTTATTTGCATCGATATTGTACATAATCATCGATTTAATAAACTGATAATAAATAGTTGTCGTCTGAATTATCGATAAGAATTAGTAATGTAATGGATGTCGAACAAAATTAGATGAATAATATTTACGGAAGAAAATAGTAAATATCCAAATGAAATTATTTCAAAAATAAAGAAACTTTTAATTTTTTTTTTTTTTACTGCGTTCTCTTTCCTAATCAAATTCAATTTCTTTTTTGTAACATATATAGTTCAATCGACTAATAATACCTTATATTTACTATTTTCTACTTGAAATGTTATGATCATTTAATTATGACGTCGAGACAGGATGGTTTCAAGTTTCGACTCGTATGAAACTTTAATCGTGTCATTCATTGGATTACTGAATCTATGTTAAGAACACTTTTAACAAGAAATTTCGATGAATATTCTACTCTTATACGGTCTTATACAGTTTTTAAACGATAAGCACATATAAAACTCCATCATTATAAAATTAAAGACTTATTATGAGGCCTATATTTCGTAATGTAAATGTTGCTCGAACATAAAATATTCTAGTGGTATAATATTCTGAGACCATTTATGCTTGACGCCATACTGCCTCGATGTTTTCTCTTCTATTCGAAGAGAATGCTTCCACAAGTTTCTATCACTAGCAATAACAATAATAATATAATAATAATAATAATAATAATAATAATAATAACAATAACAATAACAACAACAATAATAATAATAATAACAACAATAATAATCATAATATTAATAATAAATTAAGAAACAGCGATCGCACAATGCGGTTCATCTAGAAAATGACTGTAATCGAATTCTTGTAACTTGTATGAATGCTATTATTTAGGAAAGGAATCAAGTATAATAATAAAATAAATATTTAGGAACATGGTTAATCACTGAGTTCGGCTAATATTAGATAATTTGAATGCTATTCCAATTTCTTGCTAGTATAATTTGTTAAAAAAATATTATTTAGATTCTAACATTAATTCTTATGTAATTTCAATTTCTATTTAAACAAATCTATTCTTTTTATAATTCTTTCATTAATAAAAGATTCGTTTATAAACTATTAGCCGAATTCAGTTTTTGTTTGTTACACGAAACCATGCTTTGCAAACTCGTCTTTCAATCTTAAATTTACATTTACATTTATATTTACTAACGTTAATAGCAAATAATTTATTGTATGTATGTATATATATATGTATATATTGCAACGAGTTTGGGAATCATCGGTTCAAATTGGTTTATGTAAGAGGAACGAATATGTATATTAGAAATAAGATAGAATATAAGGTTGCGTTTATGCTAGGTGCTATGAGTAACGCAACATAGTCAAATAATGAATAAACATAACCTCTAAATAACGATCATATTGAACTGACTGAGACGAGTCATTTTTAGGTATAAAACACCGATCGAGGATATATAAAATTTGGAAATAAATTCTTCGAACATCTGTGTATACTCAGTGCTTTGTTTTTAAGTATATAAAGTGTAATGATTGAATCATCAATGAAATATTTAAAATTACATGTCAACTATCTTATCATATAAGAATTTATATTGCTCGTGTGGATAAATTGAATAACACTTGTTCCTATCAAGAATAATTTAACAAGTGAAAAACCAATTATACAAAATATTTCTTAATATTAAAAGGATTAGAGTATTCACTGAACTTTTTTTTAATAAAATCTCTTACTTAACAGAATAACGATAAAATGTTTATTGATAAAAATATGTATTATCATTGAAAGTCTGCTAATTATTATTATTATAAAGGATAATTATACATCGTATGACCATTGATAAAAAGTGAACGTAAAATTTAATATGGTATTGTCCATATATTCTGCATTTGATCGGTGTTTCCATCCATAAATTGCTCCAATTTCAACACGGTCAAATGCATATGATTTATATGACTCGCTAATTATTCGAGTACTCTATTCGACACTTTTATTACAAACTTTCTCGTACAGATAAGTGCATTTGACTCGATGTTGAATCACTCGTAATTTAAGAAACACATAACACATATGTACGCTTTAGAAACGTCCTATAAACAGCGCGTTCTACGTCGATTTTCGCTACTTTCAACTTTTCGAAGTAGCGTGTATTTATGTTTTTCTAAGGTCGTTTCTCGTATTATTTAACGAAGGGAGAAAAATAAGCTTTGAAAGTGCGACTAGATAAGTTATGTATAGAAACTTAGATGCGTGCAACAATCGTTCGATGTCGAATCCATTTAATGGAAATCGATTGTCGGCGTGTCCTTCGATATAATCGAAACTTAATTCTTTGAAGCGATAATTGAATTAATTCCAATTATTATTTTTCTTATTATCATTAAGATTAAACACTTAGTTCAAGTTTTTCAATTTTTTTTCTGTAAATTGAATTTATCAATTTTTATTTCTATCCATGTCACAGTAAAACAAACTAGAAAGAAATATCCCAGATAACAACGCTTCAAAGAATTAAGATACAGCATTTAGACGCGAAGCGTCGCAAAGATGGACGAATGTTTATAGCTATCTTGCACTGTTGTAGCCTGTTAAAAAAATTGTAGAACGTTCGAGCGAAATTGAAGAGTGCCAAATTACGCAAAAGCAGATCGATCGCGAAACACGGCGACTGCTCGTCAATTAAAAGAAAGAGAGAGAAAAAAGGATGAAACCAGCAAGACTAACGCTCAGCACAAAAAAAGTAAGGTTAAACGTAAGGATCTCCCCTCTCGACGACTGTCAAACCCCGAGAAAAAGGTATCTCGTTAATCATGCTAATTAAGAGATGCGATTTCTATTATATATGAGAACTATATGGTCCACAGGCATCAATGTTAGGAATAATTTTTTACGATACGATGATCCGTGTATACGATATAGAATGACGCACGGTGAAATCCAACGATCAAAAAAACACGATCGTATCACGATCACTCCTCTCGAGATCGAGAAGAAGAAAGTTTAAACTCGCGAGGAATGGCCGTTTAGCGCAATCGTTACCATCGTGCCCTTTTTAAGAATTTTCCCTTATTGATGGACATACTACTATCGCGAGTCATTAAAATAAACATCGAGGGTTCGAGAAAAAGAAAAGGAACGACGATGCGTATGTTCATCGTGAAAAACTATTCGCTCGACATTCCCATTGGCCCTATGGTACCTGAGAAACCAGCGTAGGATTGCTTTCTGCGGTTGCCACTGCGCCATTAGGGTAGTTTGAGCGAAATAACTATTGTAAAAGGAAACTACTGTGGAAACAGGAACTGTTATTGTTACACGAATAAAGTAAAATCCATATTACATGAGTTTGGATTGTTCATTCATCTTGTTCCTGATTAAATTTGATTAAAGTGCTTTTTAAATTTTATTTCAAGCAATTTTTTGATTCTTTGCTTTATGGTAATTTTTTATGGAATTAATACACATTTGATTTGAAGATCATGATGAAAAAGATATCTATATTTTTTACAGAAACATTTTGCAAAATGTAGATTTTATTGATAAATCTCAGATAAAGTTTCTATTAAAATAATCTTGTTAAAATAATTCCCAGAGTTAAAGACTTAATACCAACATTTATAAGAAGGAAAAAAATGAAATTTCTTTTTAATTTTGTTAAAAATAAATAGAAACAAGATTTCTTATACAAAGTAAGTAACATTTGAGTACAAAGGCAATGATCTTTCATTGATAATTATTATCCATATGATAAAAAAACCTTTATTAAATGATAATTGTTAATCTTTGTCTTTATTTCTCTAATTCCTTTCAATCTTAATTTCTTATTATAATATAATATAATAATCAAAGCAAAAGTTGATAAAATTGAAATGAAAAAGGGAACAAAGGAAGAAAGGGTAGAATGGAGAAACAAAGGGATCTGTGACGAATGGAAAAAAGAAAAAAGAAAAAAGAAAAGGTAAGGAGAGACGAAGAGATCTGAGGCATCAGCAGTGACGGATCGTGATCGCCCCTCTCGTTGATGAGAGGGTCGACGAACCAACCAATCGTCAGGCCCCTTGCACCTGAATTCTAATGAGGTCCACCTGGGTATATATGAGAGCTTAACCTCGGCCGAGGCAACGATTTTTCTGAGTTACTCGCGAAGGTGAGTCCTATTCTCTTTGCTTTTCTCTCAACGTTTTCGTTTCTCTGACCAGTTCCTCTTTGTGTCTTCTTTAGAATCGCCTTCTCGTTCCATCCACAATTATTGACAATGCATCGTGATTTTCATTTCTTTTTAATTTTCGTGTTTTCTTGGTGACTTGCTCCCTTGAGTGACTCGTATCTTCTGTTTGAAAATTTATTTTGACATTTCGAGCTCGAGGTAAGTGTCTTGAATTTATTAAGAGTAAGATTATTAGATATTTCAATTAATCGTTGAATAATGTTTGTTTTAGCTGGATTAACTCTCTTTTGATCTTCTTTCAATTCTCCTTGCTTGATTATTGACAACACGATTTTTTGTTCGTTTCTTTTTTGGTTTTCGTGTTTTTTTGATTATTTGCTTCCTCAATGACTTATCTATCTTCTATTGAAAATTTATTTTGAAATTAAGTGTTAAGTGTCTTGAATTCATTATTAAAGAGATTAAATGTTTTAATTGATCATTAAATAGTTTAGTTTATTTCTATTGGTCTCGTTTATTTCTATTAGTCTCGTGATACTTAAATAAAGATTTATCTCGATATTTTGTAATTGTTGTGTTTTAAATATTGAAACTTTATAGATTATTATTGTAATTAAAATCGTTATTTCGACAATTATTGTACATTTCTATAATATTATTGACAAAAGAAAGAATTAGAAAAATGAAAACAAATTTTCATGAAGAATGTTTATCTTCTCATAATCTAAAAATTCTGTAAAGTAATTAACAACAATTGTTTTGCAATCATCTGTTTTCCCATCGGAGAGTTGAATATAAAAAAATATAGAGAAATATATATATATATATATAGAAAAATATAGAGAAGAATTGACAATTTCTATTGCCAAATTTCATTTTAAATCATTAAAACGATATTTATACAAAATACGAATGAAATTTTGTTTCGTTCGTATCATATTTCATTTTTCAATCGACATTTCTTCATTTTTTTTTTCTTTTATCGACTTGCAATTTAAAAGTAATTCCTAGATAGAATTTGAAAGATTTAAGGAATTAAGATTATAAGGACTCTAAAATTAATTATCTTTTATCATCACACAAAATGACGATTGATTTATTAGTTACAAATCTACTATGATCTTAAAAAATTGAAAAAGTCAGTATTAAATTTATTGTTGTAATAAAAGTTTGCTGAATAATAAAACAAATAATAAAACAATAATTATATTTATATTACAAAAACGAAATATTAAGTGAGATATAAGTTAAAATCAAATTTTTGATTCATCAAATGTTTTTTTTTTTTTTATTATCTGTAAACAATTTTAAATATCCAATCTTTTAATCTTTGTTTTTATATGCATATACAAATACTTATGCTTACATTTAAAATTACTTATAAAAAATTCATTTATTCTTTCTTATTTTATATAAAAAAAATACTGTTTTTAAGTAATAGTGTAGATATATGTTTATACAGGAATTAAATAATTGGTAATAGATAAAATACATATTAGATAAAGAAACAATTTATATCGATTGATATCGAAAATCAAACGATTATCGAATTTTTATTATTTTTATTTTAATTTTTTTTTATTTTATTTTTTTGTCTGCCTCAAATCATCGAATATCAGCAAATTGCATCATGCATCAAGTTGAAGATCTAACATAGATAGTCTCTGTTTGCTTATAGAACAGGAAGAACCTCGAAAGTGTGTGTAGAACTAACGAAGAATATCGAAAGCGAACTGTTCGATTCATTTCTTGAATATTGATTAGAGATTGTGTCTATGAATTGAAACTAATGCATAAAAGCAACATTAGAAATTATATTCAAAGGCAACATTGCAAATGTTTTTTTAAATTTTACAAATTTCTTATAACTCTGTCATCAGAAAGACATATATAATATCTTTCAATTTTCAACATCTTCTAGAAATCAATCTGTATCATTTTAAATCAACTTCGTTAGAACGCATAAGATGCCCAAAGTATTCTAAAAAAAAAAAAAAAATTTACACAATTTTCAAAATTTTCCTTCTTCAAAACTATCTCAAAAAACTACTTCATAATATAAACACGATTCAAGACACGATGATTCTAAAAGGAAAAGATTAAAAGGATCGACGAAACGTTTAGGTTAAGTTAAAGTTATCATCCCGCTGGAAATAGAGATCTCCCGAGTCCCTGAGAGGGCGTGTTTGTATTCTCAATGCAGCTCAATAGTAGTCGAGGGATCCGATGCAGCCGGCATTTTAATTCGCAGCAACGAAAAAGCCGCGGCTCCCATTATCTTCCTTTATTCTCGCAACCTGGATCATTATCTGACTCTTTTATTTCGCGTGAAAATCCCTTTTCAAATCCCAAGGACGGGTCTTTGATCCTTCGCCTTTGTTTCTCGTTTATCCTGTAATTCTCTTCCTGCCTCATTTCGGATCGATTGTCGCTCCGTGACTGGCGCCTCTATCGGAGACAATGAACTGGAACTTATTTAATTTTCGGTCGATATGAACGGAGAGAAAAACGGATTTTTATCATCGGAAAAATTATCTCTTCTTTTATTCTTTTAATTCCTTTCTCTCATATAATTTTTTTTCTCGTTTAATCCCGTTTTCTTCCCTCTCGAAATGTATTAAATGTATTTCAGAAATAAGTACGATTTTGAAGAGAATCGAATCGAGGAAAAAATATTCTTTATTTGAAAGACTTTTTTGCTTCGATATTTTCGTACACGTATTATATTCGCATTGTTTGCAACTCGCATTACGATCGAAATATTTTACGAAATTTTCATGTTAGAAATCAAATCAATTCTCGATTAGGACGGTTAAATAATTTAACTAATATTTAAAAAAAAAAACAAAATACGTATTATATTCGCATTGTTTGCAACTCGCATCACGATCGAAATATTTTACGAAATTTTCATGTTAGAAATCAAATCAATTCTTATTTGATTAGAACGATTAAATAATTTAACTAATATTTAAAAAAAAACAAAATACGCGTGAAAAAGATGCTTTTGCCATCTTCTAAGAAGAAAATACAAGTTCGATATAAACGTATCCTGTTACCAACGAAAGGTGTTTAGGTTTTATTTTTACGGGAAAATGAAATACAAATCGATCAAAATTTTTATATTGCAATTTGGCCTCCCCAACAAGAACGTTTCGTTTTATGAGAGCAATTTGATTTCGCGTCGATTTTTTATCGAGTTGGGACAGGCACAAAAAATATACATATACATATACAACTTTTATCGGAGCTGGATCGTTGCGTGTATCGAATTCGAGAATTCTCGTGTGTCGAGAACTCCCGTTGCAAAGGTGCTTGAACTTTTAATATTCTATGCCGCTTCTTTGGACGCAAACTCGTTTTCGTTTCGAGACGAGCAAAATGTCTGTTCGACTCGATGATATGATATAAAATAACGATAATAAGTATGCAAAAAATTTCAAAAGAAAAGAATGTTCTATCTGCATACACAAGTATACGTATTGTAAAATTTGTTTAAAATTAAATATCATAAATATAAATTATCAAAAAATATAAATCATACAAGTTTTTTTCGTAAATTTTAGTATAAATATCTTCACACGAATATCTGTATATTTTTATATTTTATTCTACTCGATATTGGAAAATATTATTCGTAAATTAAACGATGAAAAAGAAAAAAAAAAAAGAAGAATGTGAACGTAAAGATATTATTGAAATTCTGTTTTCTATTTTCTTCTTGTACAGACGGTAAAAAAAAAAAAAAAAAACGGATAAAAAGGTAATAGAAAAGCAATAACCCA